AGGTATTTGTTATGTTCTCACCTACAGAGATGAAGAGATTGAAAGACGAAATGCTACACGTTCACGACAGTCTTCAGTGTGAGTATTAAGAATGTTTAAATGTTTTTAAACAAAATGTATATAAATTGTGCATTATTGAAACTAATCCTCAATTTGTAGCTTATGACAGTAATTGTGTATTTTCAGTTCAGACGATCGGACCACTGACAGCTGGAGACGATCGCGACAGTTTACACCTCAAGATTCCAGGGCCAATTATAATACACTTCGTCCACAATATGACAGTGCCTATAATCATAGTTGCCCAACACCACGTTACCAAAGTACTAACAGTACTCGGGGATATCGTGGCTCACGTTACCAACGTGATGATAATCAACCACATAATTGGAGAGAGGGAGATTCAAAACCGAGTGAACACAAGACATCATCTTCAAATTATAACCGAAAAGCCGGAGATGTGGACAAGGATGGTGATGGTGGCTGGATAACTGTTTCCAGACGATAGACTTGAGAGATAAATCATTTAGTGCGTTAATTCCATGATTTAAAAATAACATCTTTAGTTTTAATTGTCGCAAGAACAGCGTGTTTATATTGAAATATATGATGAATTATTGTACATAAGTTTAATAGGTTTTTTATAGTATGCTCTGATTGAATTCATATATTATCTAACTTCATACACTGTTGAATTATCCCAGTTTACTTATATTATGGCAATTACCTATGTTGAAAATAGTTCCTTGAAAAAAGTGCACAAAATACTATATAATTTCATATTGGAGGGAGTCGACCGAATTGCAAGAAAAACAATAATAGGCAGGGTGGGCAAGAGGTATAGGGAAGGTTGATCTGTATGCAAGAAAACAAAATACAAAGAATATTATGGCTAAAACATACAATAATCAGAGAGGCAGATCATGCATGGAAATACTTTGTAATAGAAAAATTAAACAAGCTAGGTGGGGAAAAGTAGCAATGTAACTCTTCCACCATACTGTTTCAGGTGAAGTTCACTGAATTCATGACGGACTGTGATTACGTGAACAGAAAACCATGGTATACAAAGTAATGTAGATCGGATTCTTTGGAACAACAAGTCTATTTTATTAGGTTAAAAACCAAAATTTTACTAAATTAGAATTAGAATTTGTGTCAGATTTGTATATCGATGATGATTTGAAACAGGATGGATGGATGAAATGTACAAAATGATTCCAAATTCATCAATTGACACAAAAAACACAGGTACCTGGTAAACTGTGTGCTTTTCCTAACACACAATTTGTAATGGATTGCTTAGAGTGTCTTATCAAGAAATGTACACATTTATTGAATGCCCATGAAAATAAAGAAATTACAAAAAATTGATACACTTAAGATTGTATTGTTGAAGTTATTATAGGATAATATATTGTCTAAAACGTGTTCGAGAATATCAACTTGCAATATAACAAATTATTATATGTTTGATAAACTATTAATGGTTGCCATGCCCAGTGTCTTGTATTAAGGAACAACGTCATGCTCAACAAATATGCTCAAGTAAATTATCTAATTTATTTTATTTTGTGTAAAAATAAAAATCCAGATTTTTGACAAATACATGATTGTGTTTTAAAAACCAGAACCAAATGATAAGAACGCACTTTTATAATCGTTACCCTGATCAGTCTATAAGACAAACTTCCGCTGAAAGTAGCCAGTATTACGATAATCAGTAATACCTTTTCACAATTTAGTTATTTCAGGTTATATGGAATAATTACCAAAGACTAAGATTCTATATATTTATCATTTCTAGAAAGTTTTCGACATTCCGCGGGGTTGACGTAATCAACGTTTACAATGAACCTTTCGGGCAGTTAAACTGAAACATTTTATTTTTATTGGTTCTGTGAACATCCAAGATTTTAATGACAAAATGTTCATAATGATTCTCCAGAAAATGTGTACATTAAAAACCATTCAACTTACGCATCTTACGCATCTTACTGACGCCTAACAGTTCTATGTGATGATAGATGATCACAGTAGTTATGTATATACATGTACTACCGAACATTACTCTACTTACTAATTTGCGTAGTCTGTTGAATCACGCTCACATTTAAATCGTTCCGACACAACACTGAACAAGTATTGGTTACCCGCCAGAGATTATCTTATCCATTCAAGTTTACCGACAAATTTGGAATCGAAACTAGATCTCTGATACATCGGGGAACTACAAATGTCGTACAATTGTTAATGTATTGTCAGCAACTTTGAAAACAAGTCCCCGTTTGTATTTTGGGCACAAGATAACGCATGAATACCGAGGCGATATCCAAAATATCGACCACCGCTAAAGTATGATATTACGAATATCGCTGAGGTAGCAATATGATAATTTAGGTACATACACCTAATTTTTGTATATGCATCAACTGTAACCGACAATAATATTGGATCATTGTCAATACTGGTACATTACGTAATACTTTTCAAAGACAAACAATAAGCTATTTATCACATTAAAATTGACCACAACATCACATGATATGCATATGCGCTCATCAAAAGCCTTGGGAAAGCGTTGATGGTGCCAAATATATATGTCCGTGTGTCCGATAGGGCTGGGCATGTCGGAGATGTTTAACCTGCATTTTTAAAAATAAAGTGACCATCAGTCGGTTATTTTGAACCCAATCTCAAAAATTAAATGGTTTACATCAAGGTCCCATTATGTTCAATGTGCCATGTTTGAATAAAATTTGCTCTTGCACGACTGAAATCCACTTCCGGAATGATGAACGTGTGTGATTTGGAAACATTACTTGCCTTAAAATGGCTGCCATTCGGCCATCTTGAATCGGGTCATAATATGATGCATGCGTGAAGTTTGTTACAATCATGTGCGAGATACGGACGGATGCACGAACGGGCACATAGAGCTAAACCCACAAATCCATGTTTTCAGACTACGTCCAAACGGGAACTAAAAACAGTTCTAGACATGTACGAGAAATGGCGTAAACATTAATATTTGAGAGATTTCAGTTTATTTGATTTACGTTACGATAGTCTGTATGTTGAGTATGCAGTACTGCAGTAAATTAACTAAGGGCATGTTGGTATCAAAGACAGAACGAATCGAAAATCAATTAATTATGAGTCAAAGAAGAGTGGGATATACTGTAGAATAATTCTTTCAGTAAAAACATTCACTTAGAAGAAGTGGTTGATAAGAAAAACATATTTGCAATATATTACATGACTCAATATGGTAGAACAGGAAAGATGGCGACCTCCATTCAGTATGCAAATCACATTCCATGGTGGTGGTCATAGTGCTCCACGGAATGGCTCTTTTTGGTAACCAGAAGGTATGCAATACTTTTTTTGTCATATATAATTATGAATCCAAATAAAATACAGTTTTGATGTTAGTTTATGTGCAGGGCACAGCTCGTGCCTAAAAGTAGGCGAGAAATCGTATATCTGACACGCGTAATTCAAATGACGTTCAACCACCCGTAAAATCTATGTGTTCCAGTCTATTGATAACAATACGTTTTCAGTGCAGATAATAGTGCATTATGAGATGTTAACACATATTAATACAATGATGTTTATGTACATAGTAAATTTTACTCCAATAACGTTGCCTCGCACAACGTATTTGTACTTTTCGATAATTTCATTTACTTTTCTACTGTAAAGAAAAACATTAATAAACAGTTTGGTTGCACTACGTGTTTAGGTAAAACAACCGCTGAAATATACCTTTCATAAATCAGATAAATTAACTGCTTATGGCAGAGGTACTATTTCGTAAAGCGCAAAGGCATACAAAATGTCAGATATAGGATTGATAACCGAAATAAATGAACACCAGTATCTCGAAACAATTGCATTTATTTTATAATGGTCCCATAAGGTATAAAACTAAATCTGTAGAGATTGGATATAGCTTGTGTGGTCCTCGGTCATACGGCGGAAGCGTCCGAGCTTGCGCAAAAGCCATGTTCAGTCCATAAAGTAACAGGTCAACTGCTGTGTATACGCTGTGACTGTAGGTGCATGGTATTACTGAGCTCACTGAGGCACTGTGCTCATATCACGAATATAAAATGGGAATTCCGCAATTCTTCTCATGGCTCAGGGAGAAATATCCGTCTATCGTTGATAGCCATGTGCAGGGGCGTCGATCCATTCTGAAAAGTGAGGGGGATACTTTTGGGTCCGCGTAAGCGACCAATGTCCGCGCTTGCG